TGCAAAACGAATCGATTGTTTATGAATCAATAAAATAGAATAATGTGGAAAACAATTGAAGAGCTAGTAAATTTATTTTCATTAAAATAACAAAAAAAAAGAACATTCAAATAACAATAATATGTTTTGGTTTGGTATACCCACTAGTAGGTTTATCTTGTAAGTTAAATGATGTTAATTACTCTATTCATGGTGTTGAATTTGGTATATTAATTTATGGTGCAAATAAAAAAAAATTTTAATAAACATTTGAATAAAAAATAATTTTTCCAATAGGGCAAAAAAAATTGCTTACCTAATAACTTTATATAATCCTAAGTAGCCTACGAATTATTAGGGGTTGGTAAAATAACACTGCCGTGTCGTTATATGTTATTACAAATGTATCGTCAGTATTAGTATTAATTTGTATTAATTTATTAATTACGGGTGGGGCTCGTCTAAAAGGTTCAAAAAAGTTGAATTGCCAAAAAACCCATAATTCACAATATTGGGAGCTTCTTTACATAAAAAAATCAATAAAAACTGGGTTTTTTCAAGAGAAAATTAATGTAATTCCAGAAGTAGAGTTCATTAAGAAATCTAATGCCGCTTCTCCCATTATTCATTTTTTTAGCAAATTTTATCTTGTAGTTATCTATTAATTATGTAAAAGGGAATGGACAGATTTTTCTCATAATTCTGTAATAATTTTCATGCCAAAATATGATATTCCTATAATTTGTATTTCTTTAGGGGATTTTTTTTATCTTTAGTATGTTCTCTAAACTAGTCCTCTGCTTTGCAGTTAGTTTAAATTTGTATATCCTCGTTTGATATGTGATTAATCTTTAATCAACTTTTTTTTATATATCATTGTATAGAAGCCCAGACATTTCTCTTAATCATTCAACAATAAAGGGCTTAATTGATTTTTAGTCTTTTAAATATTTAGAACCATTTTAAAAGACTTTTATAATTTAAATTAACTATATTAGCAATAAGTTATGTTTTATCCACTATTTTAATTATAGTAGAAGGCTTCATTGTGATTTTGGTATGTAAGAATGATGAATTCCACTATTATATTAGAAATGAGTTTATCATTTGTTATTTTAGCCATATGTGTATTCTTATGCATTCCTTCAAGTCTAAATTAGCCATTCCACTATCATAATTAAGAAATCTCATTTATATTTCTTCATCCATTTTATCACAGTACCATTTGATAGTAAACTAATATTAAATTTACAGGGTGTTATATAATTTAGACGAAATTTGAAAACTTAGTATGAATACCTTCAAATTAATTTAAAACTCATAATGATAACTTTTATAATAATTTTATATAGTTTTACATTTCGATCATTAAATATTGATTTTTAGAACAATCTCTTTAGATTAAATAGATAATTTGACCTTAACCATAATATTTCATAATGGAATTATTTTCTATTATAGATAATTCTTCCTTCAGTGATAGTTCAAATTGTATTTTATGAGGCTTATAAAAAATGCATATTTTTTTGAGATTATCAAATTAAAGGTTACCTATATCATTAAATTTGTGATGCTATTAATAATAATCCTATTAACAATTTTATATAAAATACTATAGTTTAAAATCAACTTTAACTAGTTTATATAATAACTGAGAATAATCTATTTTACTTTTCTAAATATGTTTAAGCTAAAAAATGCTTCTTACTTTTTTAGATTATTATTTAATCAGGTCTTTTTTAAACAAGATTTTAATCTATATCTGGCTTATCGATCCGTCTGAATTTATTATTCAAGAATTATTTAAAATTTAATTTTATTATTCAAAAAATTTATCACCCTTTCTCTAGGATCTTACCTGCAACTATATTTCCTTTCCATTCCTCTTGTTAATAATACTTATCATCATCATTTAAAAATTTAGATTGAATGTGTTTAACTTTTTCAAATCTTGAAAGTAACAATTGTTTTGGTCTTACATTATCAAAAATTCAATAATTTCTAGACAAGTTTGTTAAAACTGATTAAATTATAATCAAACATTAAATTGGTCATGGCATTTTGATGCTTTACCCATTTATTCTCCATGATTGATAAGGGAATACAAAAGACCAATTTAAGAAATGCTTACATTACATCTTTTAATTTAATTTGAAACTACAGTTCTGGAATAGCCTCATTTATTAAGTTTATATAGATTATTACGCTGTAAATTATAATTAAATAATTAAATTATGAAAAGATATTTCATAGATGGTAATTGAAAAAGCAATAACACCTAGCTGAAACTTGAAGTTTGTTGATGCTCGTGTTCGCTGCCTATCTTGCCATTAGTTCAAGGAACACGATGCCATAGGTAATCACTATGCTTTTTTCAACTCAACCAATAAATACTCAACAATCTTCTGTTCTAAACTCATAGAAGATAGTCTTAGAGAATGCAAGATAGGTCAAAATATATTAGTCTGATTCACTTTGTAGAATTAAATTGCAGTTAATGCTAAAGATAGTGAAAGAGTAAAATTAAATTAATTAAAATCCTATGTTTTAATTGATTTCTCCTTTTAAAATATTGCAAAAGGGCAGAATACAATTTTGTTGATATAAAATAAAATATTGGTTGCTAGTAATGTATTGCTATCCTATCAAATTATCTAGCCAATCTATAAAGCAAAAGATATATAGTAACCATCCGAAATTGGTAATACATTAATTTTATAAGATAGTTTAATCATTTTTTTTAAATTACTATTTTTTTAATTTTCTTAAATAAAATTAATATAGTTTTAGTAAATATAATATGTTATGCAAGTAAATTAATAAATACCTATGCACCAATAAATAGCATCAAAATAAATTCCATAATAAGTATGCAAATCTAACCTTCAATTAGACCACAACCTTAACAATTAATATTACTAATAGGCTCAATACTTAAACTTAGACGCAAAATTTTAAACCATAACATTACTTAAAATATGATCATCCGTCCTCCTACTGTGAAGTCAGAAGAAATCAACCAACCATTTTGATGTAGATATATAAATAAATAAAATCGTGTTAGAATAGATGCAAGGATTATCAAAACTAATATTGATACCAAGAAAAGTATTAATAATTATATATCTAGTCAATTTGCCATTAAATTCAAGAAAGGAGTTATAAATGCGCTTATTAAAATGCTATTAAAGAGCAGGATAAAAATAATCACCTATTATAATATTTAATCCTTCTTAAGCAACTGATAACCAAAAATTAATTAAATATGTGCAATAATTAAGAAATATGTATAGTACATAATTTTGATAGAATATCTTCTTAGAATGTCTCCAATATACTGTATTGATTAGAATTGAATGGAAAATAAATTTTGCTTTTTCCAAATTTAACTTTATATAAATAGCAATATGATTAATTTCTTTCAATAATATTTATATCATTAATTAATAAAAGAAAAAAGTTGCGAATTTGCTTTAGTATAAATAGAAGTTTGTTATAGTTATTGAGAAAAATTTATTTTACATTATGATAAAATTTAATTGTTATCAAATTAAAGAAAGTAAATGTATAATAAAAATTTAATAATTAATCAATTACTAAAGAAATCNCATTAAATCTTTTAATCTAATTTGAAACTACAGTTCTGGAATAGCCTCATTTATTAAGTTTATATAGATTATTACGCTGTAAATTATAATTAAATAATTAAATTATGAAAAGATATTTCATAGATGGTAATTGAAAAAGCAATAACACCTAGCTGAAACTTGAAGTTTGTTGATGCTCGTGTTCGCTGCCTATCTTGCCATTAGTTCAAGGAACACGATGCCATAGGTAATCACTATGCTTTTTTCAACTCAACCAATAAATACTCAACAATCTTCTGTTCTAAACTCATAGAAGATAGTCTTAGAGAATGCAAGATAGGTCAAAATATATTAGTCTGATTCACTTTGTAGAATTAAATTGCAGTTAATGCTAAAGATAGTGAAAGAGTAAAATTAAATTAATTAAAATCCTATGTTTTAATTGATTTCTCCTTTTAAAATATTGCAAAAGGGCAGAATACAATTTTGTTGATATAAAATAAAATATTGGTTGCTAGTAATGTATTGCTATCCTATCAAATTATCTAGCCAATCTATAAAGCAAAAGATATATAGTAACCATCCGAAATTGGTAATACATTAATTTTATAAGATAGTTTAATCATTTTTTTTAAATTACTATTTTTTTAATTTTCTTAAATAAAATTAATATAGTTTTAGTAAATATAATATGTTATGCAAGTAAATTAATAAATACCTATGCACCAATAAATAGCATCAAAATAAATTCCATAATAAGTATGCAAATCTAACCTTCAATTAGACCACAACCTTAACAATTAATATTACTAATAGGCTCAATACTTAAACTTAGACGCAAAATTTTAAACCATAACATTACTTAAAATATGATCATCCGTCCTCCTACTGTGAAGTCAGAAGAAATCAACCAACCATTTTGATGTAGATATATAAATAAATAAAATCGTGTTAGAATAGATGCAAGGATTATCAAAACTAATATTGATACCAAGAAAAGTATTAATAATTATATATCTAGTCAATTTGCCATTAAATTCAAGAAAGGAGTTATAAATGCGCTTATTAAAATGCTATTAAAGAGCAGGATAAAAATAATCACCTATTATAATATTTAATCCTTCTTAAGCAACTGATAACCAAAAATTAATTAAATATGTGCAATAATTAAGAAATATGTATAGTACATAATTTTGATAGAATATCTTCTTAGAATGTCTCCAATATACTGTATTGATTAGAATTGAATGGAAAATAAATTTTGCTTTTTCCAAATTTAACTTTATATAAATAGCAATATGATTAATTTCTTTCAATAATATTTATATCATTAATTAATAAAAGAAAAAAGTTGCGAATTTGCTTTAGTATAAATAGAAGTTTGTTATAGTTATTGAGAAAAATTTATTTTACATTATGATAAAATTTAATTGTTATCAAATTAAAGAAAGTAAATGTATAATAAAAATTTAATAATTAATCAATTACTAAAGAAATCAATGTTATCCTTTGTAAATCATATAGATTGATATAACATGGAAATAAAGCTTTGAATTTTTGTTTTCCACAAATACAAAATTTAAAGAAACAATTGAATTTTGCGGTTCCAATTGGACCATTACCAAGAGAATATTAAAAGGTATTCATTAAATAAATTTAATAACAACATTTATTTTTAATTGATTATATAATTGAGTGGAGTGAAAAATTAAAACAGTCTATGTCTAATTTTTAGCTAATTTTATAATATAAAACAAAAAGATTTATAAAAGAAATAGACTCAATTTAATATCTATATGTGGTTCTAATTCTCTAATATTAGCAGGTACCTATTTTTTAATCCTTTTTCTAAATCAGTTGAATTGGAAACTCAAAAATGCGAATGTTAATCATTAAATAATTGAATTGGAATCTGCAATGTGCTAATAAATTGATTGGCTGAATCAGTAATTTCTTTAGGAATAGTATATGAATAAGATAAATTATCTTCATCAGAAAATGTTCTAAATGAAAAAAGTACTTACATCCTTTAGCAATAAAAAATAAATAGATAAAATAGGAAATATTTAAAGATCATTTAGAATATATTTTCAAATGGATTAAATGAGAAATTTTAAGAATAGTTAATCAAACACTGTGTTTCACCTCTCTATAAAATAGTTATAATTCATCAATTGTTTAGATTACTTTATGAAATTAACTCTTTTTTTCATTGCTATAAAGATATTCATGTTTTGGAGAAATTATTTTAACCTCTTTTAATTCCTTCTTGAAAGCCAAACCCATATTAATATTTAATCTGGGTCAAATTTGTATATAAGATCTTTTAAATTTATTCTTTGAACTTTCAGAACCTTGAGATAATATAGATTATTATCTAAAATGGTTAACCGATTGCAGAGTCATTTATTTTTATGTTTCTTTTGTGTGTGTAGTAGGAATTCTTAAAAAACTATTATAAATAACACAGTAACATATTTTATTTTGAGTTATATTGCTTATTTCATCAATTTTTGGCTCAAATAATTAGAAATGATAATTTACGAATATTTCGATAAAAACTTTAATCAAAATTGTTATAAGAATATGCTAATTTTAAATAGACAAGCTAGATATTAATAATAAATTTATATGAATTTATTATATTTA